TATACGTTATTTCTATTTAGTGGTTCTGGCTCTATTTCCTCTGTCTAGGTTTTATTTTTTCTATTACGTTCTATTCCTTTGACAGTGGTAGTAAGGGAGAGCGTCAGGGGTATGACCCCTTTCTCTGTTATTCTGAGGACACAGCCTTATCGCAAATGAACCTCAAAATCAAATTAAATAGTTTTTTTTATAAGAAAAAATAAAGTCTGACAATTGACTTATATTACCATAATTGTCTAATCCAGAAAATGGGAAATCATCATTACGATAACCATTTGTGCCATGCCCACGAGTTGGATTGCTTTGCTTGTCTGTCACTGGTTCCCTACAGTACGGACACTTAGGAGATTGTTGAAGAGCTGTCTCCAAGCAMGTTTTACAAAACGTATGTTTACATCTTGGTAATGTTTTAGGCTGCTTCATTTCGTTCAGACAGATAGAGCACTTAGGAACATCATCTGTAACAAGACAAGATACATGAGCAATTACAAAGGTTGAAAGAAATATATGAACAGTGATATGGAATTGGCCTTGGCTGCTCGCTTACAATTGTACAGGTATAGTCCTTCAGAATCAGAAAATAATAACTTTATTAAGGTACCCCCTTTGGTAGCCATGGATCACGACTTTCAGTACTTATCTCAAATTACCTGCGGAAATAAATCTCTCAATTTCTTAACCAATAATTTAAGAGGTTCTCTGAGCCGGACAAAGACATGAGACAATACCTGATTTAGTTTGACACAAATAATACGTCATTTACCGTACTTGAAATATCCCAGTGATAGAGAACCTCGCCATACTTACCACTGTTAGTTGTTAGTACGTGTTTATTAACACAACAGTCGCGACAGAAAAATCATATCGGGCAATAGACTACCGACAAATAAATAAGTGGGGGATTACATGAGAACCTAGAATAACGGTTTATTTGAGTGATGGTAGYATTTTGCCCGACTTTTCTGTCGCAACTGTTTGGTTTGTTATTTCGATCAGCAATGATCGTAACAGTGGTAACGCATGATAACTAAAGGACATTGGCATATGTTATTTTTTTCAAACAGTATTCGATGTTACCTTCTTGTTTCGTTTTGATTACTGAAGAATAAGCCAGTAGATGCTCAGTATGCTGACTTTGACTTTGCTTTGGTCGCGCACCGCCGCCAAAGAAATCCGATTTGACTACGCCATGCTTGCCTGAGTCTGAGTGGTTCCTTGGTTCTACACCCTTAGACTTCACAGGGAGACTTTTACCCCTTCTTGGCTGATTTTGGAGCAAGTTTTCTTCCATCTTATTAGGCAAGGGTTGGCCAGAGTCTTCTCTTACTGGTCTTTCACACCGAGTTTTTTTTTGGTGCCTCGCTTTTCCCTTGTTATCAATCAAGGATTGACTAGAGTCCTCTTTTAGTGGTCTTCCACCACGAGGCAAGAGGGACAGGCCATTCTCTTGACTCCTTGAATGGCTTTCGCTAGAGGATATAYTTTTTGAGTGTTTAGTAAATTCAGTGTTAATACTTTTAGTTTTTATTGTGGTTTCGTTGCTGCCATTCCAAGGTCGGGAAATATTGGACGAATTGTCTMCACCAATGGATGGATGTCCCACCAGATAAGGCAAATCACCAGATTCTATGCTATCTCTTTTGTTTTCTATTACTTTCCCATTTCCATACCTGGCTTTAAACTCACTCCTAAATACTTTGACRGTCTTGACGTCATTGTTCACGAATCGTATGTCACGCAATCCATACTCTCCAGTTGAGGGGACACTTTTGCTATATTCCTCGACAGCATCAAACATAACTTGTGCACATATATGYTTTGGCATGCCAAAGATTCCGGAACTGATAGCTGGAAACGCAATGGATTTAAACCTGTACYTCTCGGCCTGAATCAAGCTTTCTTTACATGCTTTCTTTARCAGCGCTTTGCCTTTCTCTCCTTTGTCAATATTCCAGTTTGGGCCTACTGCATGGATGATCATTTTACACCTTAAAAACCCCGAAGGAGAAATTACCGCATCTCCAACGTTAAGTTTTCCTTTGGCATTAAYAATCCTATCGCATTCGTCTTGTATCGATGAGCCTCCCTTGAATGCAATAGCACTCGCAACGCCTCCTCCATGTTCAAGCTTTTCATTGGCTGCATTTACAATAACGTCACACTTTTCTTCGGTTATGTCACCTCTGTACACAGACACCTTCACCATTTCTAGAAAGAAAGAAAAAAAAGAAAAAAAACATACTGGAACATGAAAAAATCGAGTCAAGTGAGAGAAAAAGTAAAATCAGAAAACCTTGTTAGTATACACTAAGACCCGAAAAAACAAGACGTCAGTTTTGGATACTATATCGGTTTATCACTGTTTTCTTTGCTTCTCCCTGATCGAGACAGCGAACTATGCTAGCTTCATAGTTCAAAGAAAAAAAAAGCTCCTTCGATGTTTGATGTACATTTACATATTATTTAACAATTATTATTCGCCGAAGACGAAGTGATTATTTTTATCGGGGAATATTTACCCCCCAATAATCACTGAGCCTGAGGCAAATAATTGTTTTAGTATAAATACACAGGTGATTCTTTCAAAAAAAGGGAAAAAAAAGAAGATAAAAGGCATTTTTTCCCGGTAACAGCAACAAAGCGGCTGGCCGCCATTTTGGATTTTCGCTCGAGGTGATTATCGTGTGATAGTGTGAGTTTCTTGACCAATCAGCGCGCGAGATTTTCTATAATCACCTGCGTATTTTTACTAAAACGACTTATTTGATTGACCGATCTAGAGAATTCGGGCAATAGACTAATGATTAGTCTATTGCCCGACTTCTCTAGATCTGTTGTGATAGTTGTTTCGATCATCTCGTAGCAGTGAAAACACACAGTGAAATACCGCTTTTCCTCACGAGAATAGCTTTTCTTTCACCTACTTTTAGCCTTACTTATATATTACATCGTAATGAAGTGATTTAACCAGCAATGTCTATACTAATTCTTTTTTTTCCTTTCTTTTTCTTTTTTCTTTTTTTTTTTTTTTTTTTTTNTTTTTTTTTTCTTTATCAAATTACTCAGCGTCGGCTTCATGTCAACTTCAAAATAGTCACAGATAGCAAAAGTAAAATGCAAAATGCACACAACAGCAGCAATTACACAGTAACATACTTTGAAATTTCAAGGACCTTYACAGYTGAACCGCATGAATCAATACACAAATKTGTGGCCAGAGCAACATGCTTGGAAACTGGGGACTGTTTTCCATGTGACTTACCCAAATGGTGTTCCAGTTTCTCATCCAATATGTCATCATCGCTATCAGTGCTCTCAGTATCACTGYTTTGATCATCTGCATTATCGCTTTCATCCYCTGAAYCAGCCTCCTCCATTGTCTCATCGTCTACATTCTGCTCCTTCCTTTCCAGTTTGACATTTTCTTCCAGCAATTTCATCCCTTTCTCGACTTGACTGTCTTCACCAAAAATCTCCCAGCTTTGCCTATCCTCTGCTCTCTCCAGAAAAACAGGAAAGTCTTTMYTGACTTGAAGGACAGTCTTTCGCAGATTGCTGWTGTKTTCTTTGTTKTCAGGATYGGCCAAAACAAAACGTACCAACTTCATTTTACTCCTGGCTTCTTCATACAATCCCTTCAGCTTTTCAGTTGCAATTTTCAACTTGWCCGTGGTACATTCTCCTGAGGGTTTTATWATAGCCAWAGAGTGGTTATCTTCAGGCTCTATTTGGACTGAAAAATTAGACGTAATACTTTGCAGCTGTTTTTCATGAATCTTTACGAAAACATTCCATACTTTGCTGGAAATTTCAATYTTATGGGTGTTGTCTACTGTCACATCTTTGCTACTGACGCTACTTTTCCTCGTCAGTGGGCTGCATAAGATTTCACTGTTGTCTTTTCCTCCGGACAACAAGCTATYTATATCTTTAGGGCCACTTATTTCCCCATTTGGAAAAATTTTTGTGCCGGATGGGCTTGGATACTGTACTGAAGGTTTTGATGACATAGTATTTTCTGTAAGGAAAATTTTCTCTGTCTTCTTCTGATTTGAATCATGGGAAGAACCTTCCTTCTTTGAAGTGCTGGATTCTTTAGAGGTCTTAGAGAATTGACTAGAGGTAGTTGTTGCTCTGTCATTGACTTTTTTGGATGCAGTTTTTGCCTCACCCTTCATCGAAGGAAGTTCAAGTTCTTCTTCACCATTCATGTGACATTCAGTTCCATTTTGCAATCGTTTTGGTATATTTTTACCAATCGAGGCCTTTTCCCCGTGTTTGCTATCATTACCATTGCAAACAGCGCTCTTAAACAGACGATTCCGAAGTAAACTATAAGATTCCTGYATTTGCTGGAAAGAACCCGTTARAATAAACACATAACTTTTATTCTGGGGCTGGGCAATGTCCACTTTAGTCTTATCTCGAATTTCTTTCAGTAGAACCTGAGTTTCTTGCATCGTTAGGCTAAGTTTGGTCGGATCGATCATAGCTGACACCTTGGAGAAAACCTTGGGGACATACAAAATAGAAAAATGGTCAATAAAGGCTTTGCATCATCACGTGATGGCAGTTATGACAGGTGACATAAAAATAGAGTATTTTTGTCCTGGGAAACTGAATTCTTTCTCATATAAATCAGATTACACCAGATTCAATTGTTTCTGCCTCCTTTTATGGCTGCCATCAAGTAATGGTGCAAAGCCTTTATTATGTATGAGATATTTCTAGATCGATCTACAGTGATCAAACAACAACAAAAACAAAAACAAAACAAAACAAAGACAAGCAACTGTGAAAAACAGAGAGAAAGAGCCTGAGTCAAAACTGAAAAGAATAGAAATATGTGGGAGGAACACAAACTAGTATTCGTGAAGAAGCATATCGAAATTGACGATTCTTAAAATTCCAGTGTATGCGGGCCTAGCCTCGATTCCAGGAGTTGCTTGTTYCGTTATTCTAATTTCTGCTTTTGTTAACCGACCCCAGAAGTGAGGCTAAGCCTACATACCCTAGAGTTTAAGAGTCGTCAATATGTTTTAAAAGAAGCGTCTTGCACGTATTTATAAAATCCCCCTATGTCAAAACTGCTACATATAATTCATATTTAACTCTAATGGGGTTTTGAGTTTTTCAGATAGGTTTACCGTTACATATCACTGCATATACCTGGGCATTTTCCATTTCTTTATTTTGCACGTGCGCCTTGTATTGCTCTAAAGTCAGTAACACGCCATCGAATTTTTGCTCCTTTTTCTGTACACTTTGGGCAACTTCAAACATACAAGATAAAATGAAATAAACTTTTAACATTAGGTTAGGAAATGAAAGGAAAGAAAATGGAAATGAATAAGCACATGGATGGATATAAAATTAACAATCTTTGGTTGACGATAGCAAAGCATTCCTCGTTATAGGCTTCTCTTGTTTGATCAACCAAGATGGCGGCTGTT